TAAGTTGTAACTAAACAATATCTATTTTAATTGAAAAAAGTTTAATATTATTAAAAGAGTTATTAGTATAAAATTTTAAATTAGTTAAATTAATAAAAGAAAAGAAAATGTTAAGTAATTATATAAGATAAATAAATTTATCAAATAAATTCAAAAAATTAAAAAAGTAAAATATCTTTAGATTAAAAAAAAAAGCTAAATTAGTAACTGAGAAAAAATAAATTAAAGTTAATTTATACAAAGTATCTAAAGACAAGATATTATGTTTAATATTTTAATATTAATTCTTGAATTTGATGGGAATAGCAATATAAAATTCTAAAGGAAGTATATATAGAAATACTTTATATATTTGTTATATAATTTGTGAGTAAAGTTTTAATAGAGTAGGTATCTGCTATACAAATCTAAAACTATATAATTGTAAGAGTCAATTAATAAAAGATAATGCATTAAATAAATATTATCTTTATTTATATCAGTAATTCTTTCAATTATAAATAAGTTATCATTAAAATTTCATCTAATAATGAAATTTTTTAAACCTGAAGAAGACCATCAAATTAAATAACTATAATAAAAGTTGTATTTGTATAAATATAAATATTATAAAAAATAATCTACATTTGAATTTAATTGTTATTTCACTAAAAGAAACTATTTTAGAATTCTATAGAATCTTTAACAAGTTAGATAATAGTACAAAATTACTATATTTAAATATATAATTTTTATAATAACTAATTAACTGTTTAACATAAAAGACAAAACATTTTTTCAGATTATTAATGTGAATCTTATAAATAGTTAAAATCAAGTCTAAAATGAAGTAATTTTATTAGTAATATGATCCTAAAAAAATATTTAGAATAATTGACTAATATTAAATAATTTTAAAATATATAGGAATAACATAAGCCAGTCATTTTTAACTAAAAGTATAAAATAAGGCTAATAGACTAATGAGTTTTATATAGTCATTCTTTTTATTGCAGTTATTTAATTCAAAAATAAAATGATATTCTAAGGATATTTATTTTATTAATTATCTAAAAAGGTGTATTTTTAAAGGTTTGTATACGTCAATAGTACAAAAGAGTTAGATTATAAAAATAATAAGAATAAAATAGATTTTTAAATATTTTTTTGAAAATTTTAGTTTCTTTTTATAATATTAAATATATAGTGATAAATCTATTACATTAAGATTATAATAATAGAATTAGTTATAAATGATATTTAATTTGTAAAAAAATAATAATATTATATATATAGATAAATTAAGAGTCTATTAGCCTCTTATTTTCATGATAATAATAGCATTTTTAAGTTCGTTATATATTTAGTTATTTATAAAAGTTTTATTAAAATAAAATAAGAATCAAATACCCAAGTAGCAGATATTATCTTTAAAATAATAGAAGTGATATTCTAATTAATCTTATTTTATTAAATAATAAAAGAAGTTGATTACAATTTATTAATCATTAGTTCTGATTTTAACCAATTAACCTATATATCATTAAAGTCATAAAATTATTAGTAATAGTTATAATTAATATAAAATTAAAATTAAAATCTAAAAGTTAAATATTTTAACATAAAGGTTATAAAGTTAAAATATATTATAATAGTCAAAATGTATTATAATGATCAAAATGTATTACAATAATTAAAATACATTATAATAGTTAAAATGTATTATAATAGTTAAAATTAAAAAATACTTTTAAAAATCAAAGAAAAATATTTATAATATATATATACTATATTTATTACTATTATTTTATTATTTTATTATAATTAATATTATTAATTATAATATTTACTTAAAGGTCTACTTTTAAATTAAAAAATTAAAATAAAAAAAAAGAAAAAAATCAAATTGATTAAAATAAAAATAAAAAACAAAAAAATTAAAAAAAATTAAAAAAAATAGAGAAAGAAAAAATAAAAAATTAAAAATATCAGAGGAGGAAAAAATAAAATAATTAAATAAATAATTAAAAGAAAAATAATATAAAAATAAAAATAGGAGGAAAAAAATAAAAAAATTAAAAATTAATAAAAAGATCAAAAAGATTAAAGAAGATAAAAAATTAACAAAAATTAATAAAAGAATAGAGTAAAGAAAGGAAAAACAAATAATAAAATTAAAAAATAACAAAAAAAAATAAAAAAAATTAAAAAATTAATAAAAAGATCAAAAAGTTAGGGAAAAAAATAAAAATAAAAAAATAAAAAAAATTAAATAAATTAAAAAAAGAATAGAGAAGAAAAAAAATAAAAAAATAAAATAATTAATTAAAAAAAATAATGATTAAAAAAGAAAAAAATGATAAAATAAAAAATAAAAAAATAAAAAGAATTAAATTAATTAAAAAAGAATCAATTAATTAAAATAAAAATAAAATAAAATAAATAACAAAATGATGTCTTACCATTCAATTTGAACAATTTTTATTATTTTATTTAAATATATTTTATTATTTATTTTAAATTAATTTTTAAAATTAATGTACAGAACTTGCAGAATACATCTGATTTTTTTTATTTATAAAATCAAATATACACATACAAATTTTACAAATGATTTTTAAAATATTCACAAATTTATATATATAAATCTAGTTTGAAGTAAGTTCTACAGTTAGATATTATTTTACATGCAGATTTATTTGTATAACTAATCAATACAATTTAAATTTTTACTTTATTTTATTATTTTTTTTTATCTTACAATATTTCAATTAAAAACTTTTAATAAATAAGTATTTTATTTTAATAAGTAATTCATCTACTATATTATCTATTAGTATACAGAAATAAAAAAAAATTTAAATAACAAAATTTTTACTAAAAAAGTATACAAAAAAGATATTACATAAAATAAATTATATATATAGTTAAAATAGAATTCAAAATAAATAAAGAATGAGTTACAGGTAGTTTTTAATTAAATAATATAGTATCTATAATACTAATTAAGGTTTGAGAAACCTGAGTTTAATTCTTAGGGTGATTTTTATAATTTAAGTATAACAATTGTGTTGAGTGGCTATTCTAAATTAGGTTGTTAAAGACTTTTCTTTTTAGTGATTGGCCTGAACTCTATTATACTATAATAGCATTAAGGATTAACTATACAATATTTACTTTATTTAGCTTATCATGATGGCTAGTGATTCAGCAATTCAGACTAGCTTTAAAAATAACCAAAAGCGACTTGATTTTAAGTACAATAGCATATAGGATATACAAGTTTCTGTCAAAACACTTAGGGTATTCAATCACTAAATATTAAAAAATAAATAAATAAAAAAAAATTTATAGGTTGTTTAACATATTGATTTTAATATTAAATTGAAAATATTTTATATAGTATACAGATTATAATAAAAATTCTAAAGGTGTATTTATAATCAGAATAAAAATATTCAAAAAAAATTATATATATTTATCTACTAAAGAATATTAAAAGTAGTATATAGATATACTGCTTAACTATCAAATCAAATAAATTTTATAGTTAGATTTATAATTTAAATAAATATTAACAACTAGATATTATAGCAAAAATGTAATATATTTATCTTTATATCAAGAAGTATCTTATAGTTGATTCATTTTCTAATTTAGTTAATTAATAAATATTCAAGAAAAAAATAAAACTCAATTAATATATGATTAATTTCTACTTATACTTTTATCACTATCATTTAGTTTAAAAAAAATTTAATTAAAAATGATAATTCAAAAAGTCAAATAATAAATTATGTTACATATAAAAATCTAATAGCAGGTATTAAATTCTTCTATGTTATAATTACAGTAATAAATAAATTAGTTTTAAATAAAGTTTATAAATTTTCACCTTAAAGTTTATTGATTGATGAAAATAATACAATTACATATAATAAAATATATATAATTATTAGTAAATATATAGTAAGAAATATTCCTGTACTTTATTATTTAAGATTTATTAAATTATTAAAAATCCTTATGTTGAATTAAATAAATAAATTGTGAATTATTAAATAATTTATTATATTAATGCATAATACAAAAAATTTTAATATATGAAATTTTTGATTAGATAGTCAAGTTGTAAAATAATAAATCATCAAATAAACATTTTTGATTAAAAATTCTTTTTGTTCTTGAAAATACAGATGAATTATCTAAAATCAATTTCAGATATGAAAAATATATAAACCAATTTTTTTATTTTGTGCAGTCAGTCTAACTAAAAATTTGAATATATAATTTATAATCAAATTATAGATTATATTTTTGATTAAAAAATGAAATAAGTTATATTAATATTTGATTTATAAATTTATATATAAATAAAATTATGAATTAAACATTAAATTATTTATAATTTAATTTGTTATTTATATATAATTTCTTTAAATAATCCAAATTTAATTATAATTCTCAATTAATCTTAATATACAAGATTTATAAAACTTTATTTCTAATAGTTATATTATTAAATATATACAAAGTTTTAGAAATTTTATCTTTTATAAGGAAAATACTTTTATCAAAAAAATCTAAATCGGTAAAATTAAAAGGAATAAAAGACTGAATAATTTTAAAAACCTATTAATTAATAAATAAATAGAGGCACCTTTTTACTAAAATCCAATATTTGATTTTGTGGCTAATTTTTTTGAGTCACGTAATATTCTTCCAGATAAAGAAATAATGAAAGGCCTTTTCACATGTTTTTTTATTTCCAATGAAATCAGATATTTGTTACCAAATTAGTGGTTTCATGTGATATAATTTGAGGTTGCGATCTTTGTATTTATTGTAATTTGCTTTTTTTTTTTAAACCACTTTTTTTTTACCAAATTATTTGCCCAAAACAATTATTTAAATAAATTTCACCTTGCGCTTCGACTTTAGATTACCGTACAAGCTTTGAATTCAATAACCGACCTTTTTGCATCCTTTTTTTGTAATTTTTTTTAGATTTTTCTTTAGAAATGGCTCATCACCATGAACATGAATATAATTCGTTAAAAAGAAATCGTTCTTCCTCATACCCGGTCAGAAATGAAATTGATTTTGGCCCAAATAAATCTAATAAACATTCAAGGACCGCCACACCTAATAATCGTATCGTAGCAGAACATTACAACTCAAAAGTTGATGTTGGAGTTGAAAGGCGTCGAGAATCTACAATTATTTATCTTAGAAGTTTTAATAATTGGATAAAAAGCGTTTTAATTGGGAAATATGTTAAGAGGGGTGAAAGCGCTCTTGATTTGGGTTGTGGTAAAGGTGGCGATCTATTTAAATGGAATAAAGCAAAAATCAATAAATTAGTAGGCTTAGGTAAAGAGTTTTTTTTTTTCCTATTTTAAATAGCAATTCGGAATTCTAATGAATTACCTTTATTTAGATGTTGCCGAAGTATCTATAGAAGATGCAAGAAAGAGGTGGGAAGAAATGAAAGGTAATCAAATATATGGTATAGCATCATTAAACAAAAAAAATTTTTGTATCTTACTAAATATTTTTTTATTAATCACATCAGGCAAAAAATTTGAAGCAGAATTTCATGTTATGGACTGTTTTTCTGTAAGTTGAAATTATTTTTCTCCCTGGATAATTCCACATTTTGTTAACATGATTGTTTATTATAGACACCAATATCGACCAAAATCCAAAGCGATATATTATTCGATATTGTTAGCATGCAATTTTGTCTTCATTATTCTTTTGAGACTGAAGAGAAAGCACATATGGCTTTAAAAAATGTTACATCAAACCTAAAACGCGGAGGCGTATTTATTGGAACTGTCCCGGATGCTTATTGGATTGTGTGAGAATACAATTTATTATATATATACATACTTTTTGATGATTATTATAACAAAAATTTTATACTTTTTATATTAATTAGTAAAAAACTGAAATCGTTGCCTAAAGACCAATTGAAATTTGAAAATCCAATATACTCTATAAGGTTTGAACAAAGAGACGAATTTCCAAAATTTGGTCATAGATACTGGTTTTATCTTAAAGATGCAATAAATGATTGTCCAGAATATCTTGTACACTTTCCCACCTTTGAAAAGTATGTGTTGAAATTGAATTCATTAAAAATTTTGTAATGATTTAATAATTATAATTCTTTATTATCTTTCAAAGACTAGCCAATGAATATGGACTTCAATTAGAGTACAAGAGGAGATTCCATGATTTATATGATGAAGCAAAAGAAGATTCGCATTATAAGGATCTTTTATATACTATGCGTGTCGTTGATAGATTAGATGAAGAAGAAATGTCGGATGAAGAATGGGAGGCTACGGGTAATTAGAAAATTTACCTCCTATTTTTTTTATTTTTATAAACTCAAATTTAAACTTAATTTTGCTTTATTTCTTTTCACAACTAAAGGAATGTATATTGGATTTGTTTTTAAAAAAATAAGATGATAAATTTAAATATGTAATTTGTAAGGATGTTAAAAATTAATTAATTTATATTTATTGCTTAGCAAAAAGAATCACGTGATTCTAGTTTTTAGCCGGATGCTCATGTGACATTTGCGCAAATATGCATAAAAATGTGATTTTGTTGATCAAAATGAATTCATTTAAACCTAAATGTTTCACCTTAAACCGTCCCTAAAAAAAAGCTTACTTCAAAGTTCCAATATTGTATCAAAATATTCTCGCCAATTATTATTAAGTCGAAAATTTAAAATGGGCAGACTTGAAGGAAAAAATGTATTAATGTAATGAATTTTTGATTAAATAAATTTATGAGTGAGGGGATTCAACTTATCATTGATTGAACTTTAGTACAGGAGCTTCCGCCGGTATCGGTGAAGCATGTGCTAAGGAATTTGCTAAAGCTGGTTCAAATTTGGTAACTGAAAATCGAATTTAAACTTAATTGTATAAATCAGTTGGTAATTCGCTTTTATTTAGATTCTTGCAGCTAGAAGAATTGAACGTCTTGAAAAACTGTGCGAAGAAATTTCCAAAAATCATCCTTCAATTAAAGTTTTCAAACATCAATTAGATGTTCGTGAAAAAGCAAAAGTCGACCAATTAATTTCTTCTTTACCTTCAGATTTGAAAAACATTGATATAATTGTTAACAATGCTGGTATGCACAATTAATTCTCTTTTTTACCAAAATGAAACAGCCCATCTAATTCGTGAGTACCGATTGTGAATAGGATTGGTTATTGGGTTAGATAAGATTGATAATGTTACAAGTGAAGCCATTGATACAATGATTGATACAAATGTCAAGGGTTTGTTATATGTGACCCAGGCGATCCTTCCCGTAATGAAAGAACGTCAAAAGGGACATATAATTAATGTCGGATCAGTTTCAGGTATATCCTTATTACTTGTTCATATCGTTGAGAATTCTCATTATTAATAATATATTTCTTATAGGAACTCAAGTTTATGTCAATGGGGGCGTATACTGTGCTTCAAAACACGCCGTCGATGCTATCTCAAGGACATTGCTACTTGAATTGGTAATTATTTTAAGTATTCAACTTGATTTATTTAAATAAATTTGAAATAAATGACATTCATTTAAATAGGTTGATACTCCAATTAGAGTTACGCAAATTAATCCAGGTAAGATAATGAATGATCTGATCTACTTTGGCGAATTACCTAAACCTTTATTCATTTCTTATAGGAATGGTAAAAACCGAGTTCTCTATAGTTCGATTCGGTGGAGATAAAACAAAGGCTGATAAATTTTATGAAGGCTTGGTAAATCATTCTTGACCTTCTAATTATGCCTTTTATTATTTTTATTAAATTACTTATTAGTTGTTTCTTTCTTTTATTATTAGCAACCTTTAACTGGCGAGGATATTGGCAAGTACAATTCAAAGTTCGACAAAACTCGTATGTATTTATGATTTTTTAGCATTAATTTTATACAACTAAAATTATATAGCCGAAACTATTGTCTTTGCTGCATCACGACCCGACCATGTAAACATTGCTGATATAGTGATTTATCCAGTAAATCAGGTAAAAAAACTTTTTTATAACTTGAAACAAATTCCTTTTAATTATTAAATTTTCCTCTTAATATTTCTAGGGAGCTGTTACAACTATTCATAAACCATTATTAAATAAACAATAAGTTAATAATTTGAAATCAGCATAATTAAAATCCATTGGATTGGTTAAATGTTGAAAGATTTTGATTGGTTATAATAATTTTATAAAGGAGATTTCTAAAATAAAATTTTTGATTTTTCAAATTAAAGTCAATAAAAACAATTCTTTATGCTTTCTTTATTATTTTCTTTTTTACTTAATAACTTTTAATAGTAAAAAATAAAATTTTTCATATAATTCAATTTAATTTGATATTAAATTATTAAAAATTTTTTATTAAATATTAAAAATTTATTATTAAATTTGTTTTTTTTTTTTTTTTTAAAAAAAAAAAGGTTTACTTTTATTTGTTTAATCTATTTTAGATTTAATAAAATATATAAACCTTTAATTTTAATAATTTATTATTAAAATTAATATAATTTTATTATTTATATAAGTCTTAATAAGATTTTAATAGTTTATTTAAGTTATATAATTAATATTAAACAATTTGTTAAACAATTAGATTTTATTTAGAAAAAAAATTATTTAATTAATATAAATTTTTATTAAATAAATATTATATCTTTATAATATAATATACTGTATATAAATTAATTAATAAAATAAAATATTAATTACATAAAAAAAATTAATTGCAAATCTGTATATGATCAATAGAATTTATATAGTAAATTATGGTATTATATTTAATAATAATAAAAAACTTGTTCAAAAATCTCTTTTTCTCCTTAACAAATAAATATCAAAATCTTACATTACTTCAGGAAAACTTGTTGCAACTGGTAATATTATACCAGAACTTCATTATGGTCCATATTTATATGATTGATAGATTTTTTCTAAAGAAAAAATTTAAAAAATCCTATTCCTTTATGTTTAGGACTTGAAATTATAATCTAACTTAATAATAATTCATTTATTATTTATATAGTTTATAATATTCATAGTTTTTTACAACCAAGTTATATTTGTGAAGAAAAAGAACAGAGTAGTAGTATTAAACAAATGCTTCTATAGCTATTACTTCCATCTACTAATCTGTTTTTAATAGTAAAATAAAATATACAGAACTCTTTTATTTAGGTTTAGACCAACCTGAAACAGCTCAAAAGTTATTAGAAGGGGTTATATTTTATTCTTTTATTGTTAAATTAGAAAATACTTTAGTTTTTGTTAGTTGTCTTGATAAAATTACATTATCAAATATAAACAAAATTAGTTATAATTATGCAGCATCATTATTTTATAATATAAAAGAGTATAATTAGTTTTTATCAATATATTGATAAAAAATTTTTTAATTACAATTTATCAAAATAGTCAATTGTTGCTAAATACAAAGATATTTTACCTAATGTTATTTGGAATCAAATTGGAGTTTTAACTTCAATTTCAGATGATACTTTATTTGTTATAAATCATTCTATAACTTTAAATAGAATAAATCAAGCATATTAAGAACTTTATACTTATCAATTACCTAATAATTATATATTTGCGAACTGAAATAATAAAGTAATTATAAAAAGATTATATAAATTACATTTAAAAAAAATTATCAATAAATCGGTTAAATGTTATTAAGTTTTTCAAATTTGATTACAACAAAAAAGTAATATTATTGAACTACATATTTTACTTTATAAAGTATATCAATCATCGGACAAATCCAGTTACACAAATTTTACTAATTGTTTAAATTTGTATAACCTTAAGTCAAAAACTTCAATACAATGATTACTCATTTAAATAGTATATTACGTCATGATTTTATTATTAATAATTAACTTTTAGCTTCCATTTTAAGTATCGATTCATTCTTTTTTAAACAATAATTATTAAAAAAAATCTCTAATATATTTAAACTTCGTTCATTATTTTAGTCTTTTACTCAAGATCCTCTTTAATGCCAACTTGTTAAAAGTCAATAATAGATTAAATATATGTAAAAAGACACGCTTATTAAAATCTGATTAATATACAAAGGTAATTTACAAGCTAGATTTTTCTTTTACTAATAAAAATGCATTTTTTATTTATTAATATATATACAAAATAGTTGAAACTATTATTTTATTCTGACACAAGCAAAACACTTTAATATTATTTATGTATTATCAATTCTTTTTGTGTTTATTATTTCTCTAATATTTTTTAATACGCTGAATACTTCAACATTGTGGTAATTTGGTTAAAACTTCATTAATTTCATTTTCTAAAGGCATTATTTTCTTTTGTAATAAACACTTCAAAATTTCCTTTTCTTTCTCAGTTGTTACAACTCTTTGACATTTTAATGGGGGCTGATTTTCAACATCTTCTTGATTTTCTGATAATTCAGTACATTTTCGCTTTGAGTTAATGTTTTTGTCTTTTAAAATTGATTAGGGATCTTGTTCATTAAATTGAATAGTTTACAATGCTCTTGCTGGTTGAGAAGAGCCTTCATCATTACCTTCTGGTATGGTTGGTGCATTTTTTTTTTTTGATTTTTTATTTTTTGATAAATCAGAGACTTTAGTTTACATTATTGATAACTTTTTTCTTCCTTTGATATTAATTGCCTCAGTTTTTATTACTTCTTGTCAATAAACTTTTTTTATTCTTCCTAATCCATCTTTATATGCTTGATTAATTTTGATTAATCCTTCTTGGTTTAATTGAGGCAGAGAATTTTTTTTGAAAAGATCATGATCGATAGCATTATCCATTTCAAATACTTCCAGCAAGTCGTGGGTCAATTTCTATAATAGATCAATATGATTATTAGTGTTATAATCTTTTTGATAATATATGTAAGTATCCAGAAATTCATTCAATAATGTGTCTATTCGTTCTCTTTCCTCTTGAGTTGCTCTAATTTGTAATTCTAAATTTTCTTGATTACATGAATTTCCTGTAATATTTTGTTTGATATAGGCAATACTATGAGTCTTCAAGGCTTCATCATAAGCTGGATAATATCCTTCTCTTGTTAAATTTATAGAGGCACAATAATGAAGTTTTTGTTCTAATTGTAGGTATTTTTCTAAAATAGAAAGGAAATGTGTAACAGAAGTAGTATAATTATTTTTCCCAGCTGCTGGAAAAAGTGGAGCAAAAACAGCTAACCTAAATCTTTGCAGTTCATAATTTCCACAACGTATTCCGGTAAGATAAATTTTCCAAATTGCAAACCATTCATAATACAAATACCAGATTCTTAAACAAATTCTTTTATTTACAGGGCCAGATAATATTTCTTTGATTTTAATATTTTTTTTTGTATGTATATATGAATGGCTGTATCAACTGCAATCCATATTAACTCCAAAACTCTTTTCGTGAATCGATAATTAATAACGGCTGCCAATTTATCCAAAAATTTTACACCTAAAGCTGTAGCCAAATCATAAATGCCGTAACTTGAAAATAAAGTAAGAAGTGCACTCATCATGTCCTTAGACGTATGCCATTGACCCAGGATAAGTTGTATATTTTCTGATTTGTTATGGCATTTAATCAATCTTCTAAATATTACCTCATCAGCATAAATATCTAGAAAGTCATTCTCATTTAATAAAAAATCCTTTTTATACATTTCTGTAGCTCGTAAGATCTCATCATTATTATTTGGTGATCCACTTGATTCAAGTATGACTATATTCAGAGGTGGAAGCTTACAGCCAAAATTTATTTGTTTTAATATTTCTAAATCTACTGCTGTAAGATCAAAGTTTTTATTGTATTCTAACTCTCCTTTTTCATTGAGCCGAAATGCTAATAAACCTTCAAATACTTTATTAAATTTTCAGATAATTTTATGTATTACTTGTGACATTCTAAAGAGCTGTGTATCAGCATTTAATTCATGAAGTGGTTCAGGTTTTTTATTAATAATTTCAGGTAATGTGAATTGAAACACCATCCTTAGTATAGTATATAATATATCACGAGTTACATCATAGATATTTTTAAATTGAAAACTTCTTTCTTTAAAGTTTATATTATCTATCACTGCTAAGTTAAAAATTGTTATTCCATTTAATAGACGTTTAGATGGATCTGCATTTTTCATTCGTATTTTCTCTAATCTCTGCTTATGTCTATTTGTATGCCCAATAATAGAACATTTGGTCAAAAGTTCATGCAATGAGAACAGTAACTTTGGTCTTTAACATAACAATGCTAATACGCTTGGTAGCCATAAATTCGAGTATGGGAATGCAAAATTAACTAAAGATGAATCAATAAAGAAAGAAGTGTATTGACTTTTTTTAATCCATTTTCTTTAATAGTTTGTTATCTGAGTGATGTTTACGATTTGATTCTGCAATTTTATTTTCTAGTATTAATTTAAGCATTAATTCAAAAAAGATTATTAAAGGCCTAGGAAATGTACCAATATAACTACTAAAACTTTCGGAATTTTGTAAGTTATTTTTATTTTTTTTAAGATACTTGAATGATTTTCATAATTCTTGTCCCATTTTTCAGCCAATTTTCTCATATTTCTTTTTATCTGACTCTTTTTCTTGATTAATAGGAATTTTATTTATTTTCATTATTATTTTTAATACAAAATAGCTCAGAAGATTATGGTTACAACCAATATGTTTATTTGTAGTAGGTTGTGGCGAATTAAAAAATGGAATAATTTGAGGCAAAATTGCTGTAAGAATATTTTTTTGATATTCGAAATTTTCATCTTTTGCAATATTTAAAAACCATTGTGTCAATAAATGGAAAGTTTTTTTAATGTCTTCCCTATGGTATCCCTTTTTTACACATGATAATATCGCTCTTCCTCTTTCTGATTTAATATGAAGATGTCCTCCTTCACGTTTATAACAATTACAATATACATATCATAGATTTTTAACTTCATTATGACATTCATATACAGAATCATATGATTCTAGTACGCTACAATTAACTTGACCATTACAAACTACTTGGATATTTTTTCCAATTATATTCCATAAATGTTTTTCACATCCTAAACCTCATGTAAAAAAATAAAAAATTTTTCACAAA